TATTCTTTTCCAACAATATAAGGACTTTGGAGTACTTTGATTAATACTCTCTTAGTTTGCACACTATCTATATCTGTTGAGAGCCAAGGTTTAGTGGGAATGACGCCTGGCATTTTGCTAGAGGGAATGTTGAAAGGTGACCCTGCGGGGTGGGGGAGGTGGGGTGTGTGTGTGTGATTAGGGCGGATCCTGCTGGGATTAGGGCGGATCCTGCTGCCTCGGGAGCCTGCTACTTTGGAGTTCTTGTTGAGATCTCCTGGGGATTTCCGGAGAATTGGCCCGTGGAACCTGGTGGAGGGAGTGTGTTCCCGGGAAGTGTGTGTAGAGTGCAGGTGAGTTCGGGAATAAAGAGTTGTTGTTTGAACCTACAAGGCTTTTGGCGGCTCGGTTATTTGTGCCCAGCCAGACTGCGGCATATATCATTGTCTAGTATTTTAGTATATTTTAATTTTTCTTATTGGTTTCCCACTGGGGATCGAACCCAGAGGTGCTTACCACTGAGCCACATTCCCAGCCCTTTTTATTTTTTTGTTTGAGACACAGTCTCGCTAAGTTGCTGAGGCTGGCTTTGAACTTGTGATTCTCCTGCCTCAGCTTCCCTATTCTCTGGTAATACAGGGTGCACCAATGCACCCAGCTTCATTGATCTTTTCTTATCACCATGGTTTTCTGGTAAACGTTTCCTTAGATTTACCTGTGTGAATACTGTACTCTGCTATATTCCTTCTCGTATTTCAGATCTTCCATCAATTGTCATTTTTATTCATAAATTGATTCTCAAGAAGTGCCTGCAGTAGGAGTTAGATAGTGGCAATTCTGTCCATTTTTTTTTTTTTTTTTAATTTGGCACAGTCCAACTGGGACCACTTGACTATATTTTTACCTTGGGAATTTTCAGCCCAATATTCAGATATCTAAGGTCTGGGCTGATCATGAATTCTCACAGGAAATTTTTGTTGTTGTAAATTTACTAGCCTGAGTTCAAGCTAAAGAGAAAGAGGGTGGTGGGGGGGATGAGAATACAGTTTTGAATAAAAGGTACACTTTGTCAACCTTTTGGAAAAAGGTCTACTTTCTCTACAAGTATGTGTCTGACACCCCAGCAGCTCTGCCAGAGGTGGTTGGGGGACCAGCAATTAGCGCGATGGGGTTGGTGTGTGTTTCTCCATAGTTTATTGTGGATGTTTCTTCTCAGTGTCCCAGTTCTCTGAAGAACTCTCTGTTCTGAGTTTTCACCTTGCTCAGGACTAGACTTTGTAGAAGTCCCAGGACTTCCAAGTCCTGTTAAAGGAAGTCCTAGGTCACTTAGGTTTGGTGAGGCTCTCAGAGATAGGTAGATGCTCCCGGACAGCAATTTACACCTTCTAAGTTTCTGGATCACTCCCATTTCTCAGAACTGAGTCACTGCATGGCTAATAACAGCATGGCCATCTGCATGGGGACTTTCTCCCTCATTCCTGCAATTGACCAGCCTGAGTGACCTTGGATAGCCTCAGGAAACCTCAGTTCTGTGATTTTACTTACTAGAGGAATCTGGAGGTCCTTTAGAAGAGAAATTATCTCCAACTTGCACAACCTCCTTAGGAAAAGATTTCACATTCTAGATAAAACCTTACTTAAGTCTCTAATGAACTTTAATGAGATTCAATCTTGTGGTTAAATGAGCGAGGGATCCACCCCTATTGTTGATGATCAGCTGAAAGTAAAAGGCTGCATTAAGGCTTTGCTTTTCTTTTGATGTACATTCCAGCTTAATTCACTCTTCTTCCTGTAAAATGTCCCCACCAAGATGACATTTGAATTTCTCCCTACATTTTTTTTTTCTTACAAGGAGACTGAAATAAAACTATGATGTAGTTTAAAACTAAATAGCCTAAAATTTTTTCATTAATGACTCTTTAATTAAATATAAATCAATTACATTTTCAGTTGTCAGTTCAAAGTTTATAACTGAAACAAATCAAGCCAACTTATTTTCTTCTGCTATCAAGATATTCCTGAGAGCTGGGGCTGTAARTCAGTCACTTAGCAAATACTTGGCAAGCTCAAGGTCCAGAGATCAGCAGGGAACTGGTGTTCTTGAACTTGAGGGGTATGCCACTACCTTCAAAGAAACTTTTTCAGTTTAAAACTTTTATGCAAATTAGAGAACTTGGAAAGCTCCAATGAGAAGGTTCAGTCCAGGCATATGAGCTTGATTTGCATTTCCAGTCAGTATACAAGTTTTTGGATTATTCTGGCTAAGCTACTCCCTCTACCAAAAATGCATTATTATGTTAATCAGAATTACATTAAACTTTTCAGCATATGGCTCCATATGAAACAACTGATAACTGGCTATATTTTTTCAAAAATTATTTTTTAAAATTCATTTTAATTCCTTGTTATTAAGTAAAGCTGAAATAACATTTTGGCAATTTCACTGAGAAGTATTAAACATTAAGAAATGAAGTGTTACAAGACCTAGATTTCCGCCAAATGAATCTGAGTCGATCAATTTTCTACGTGTCTCCTCTGTAAAACTGTTTCCCGGTGTACTGCCCAGGCGTCCTAGCTGACATTCTGCCCTTCCCTAATCTTATTCTTGATGCCTAAGGCTGGAGAGTCCTCTTCAGGTGGGCAGGCCAAAACCCTCCRAGCTAAGAAACCTGCCAGAGTGAGCACAGACAGCTTCCAACTTCATTATAAKCTAATTTCCATGCTGAGTGACATACCCAGCAGAGCACACTGGAAGGGCCTGGCCATAAAAGTGGTGCCTGAGTTCTGGGAAACCTCCGCCTCACCCAACTCCCCCCTTATTCTCCATTATCAGGTGGTTCAATGAACTTGTTCAGCTGGCTTAGAGGTCCGAGTATTTGCCTTCCCAACACCCGCGGGGGTGGGGAGTCTGCTTTGGAAATAACAGATAAGTAAGCATTTGAGTCAAAATGAACTGTATTCAGATTCCAGCTGAAACCTAATAAGTGTGCTTATTTCAGGACATCGCGCCTGTAGGTTGCCATGAGTACTATGCCTGCAACTTGCACAGACAGTGCGGCATAGAGATGTGGACAGTACTTGTGAAGATCATGCACCATATTACTCTAGATTAATTTTCTGTATTAATAGAAAATTGATATTCTCCATATTAATTTTCTCAAAATGTCTCTTTTTTTGCTTTTTAAATTGAGCTTTTTAATTATACATAATAGCAGAACTTGTTACATATTTGCACACATACAGTATAGCAATGCAGTTTGGTCAAAAATGTCTTTTTATCATATTCCACTTAACTCTTTCATAAGCATGTATTACCTTTTCTCCTTGCTTTTCARTTTTCTCTACTATGAAAAAACCTATAAAATTTGTTAGTGTGAAGGGACTGCTCTATAGCAGTAAATCATTTTGATGTTAAAAGGTAATTCCAAATTCAGGAAAACCCAGTAGTATTTCAGAATTAATTCCCCAGGGTGGTGTGTGTGTGTGTGTGTGTGTGTGTGTGTGTGTGTTTAATCCAGAGAAGAAAAAGGATCATTGTTAAAGCGATTTATACACTTGGCATTAAAAATACTGCAAGCAGCTGAGGGGTGTGTAGCTCCCCTGTACTCCCAGGTACTTAAGAAGCTAAGMCAGGAGTATCACAAGTTTAAGGCAGACCTCAGCAACTTAGAGACACCCTGTTTAAAATTAAAAATATGAAGTTGTGGATGGCACTCAGTGATAGGACACACCTGGGTTCAATTCCCAGTAGTGCAATAAAAAATATGCATATATATCTGAGCTCCTTGGCTTCTGGGCAATTATAACTGTGAAAAGCAGTTTTAATAAAGGTCCTCCTTTGTGCAAAAAGTACTTCTTTGTTTTTCTAACGCTCAAGAAGGAATCTCAGTGTCTTAAGCGAAATGGTGTGTGCTGCTTAGCAGCATGACATTGATAAGGGTCCCGACACACCCCAGCTCATTTTAGTAGGTAGGCGCGCTTTAGCATTTTATTTCGGTCTTTCTCACTCCCCACCCTGTAACCCCMAACCCAAACACACACACAGGTAGAAGATGCCTCAGAGTCAGGAGGCGGGAGTGGAGAGTTTCAGTGCAAATCTTGACATCGTGTTGCTCTGAGGAAGAAAAAGAAAGGGAGACAAGAAGAGAGGGAGAAGGAAAAGGGGGGAGGAAAAGGAAAGAAATACAAAGGAGGAGGAGAGTGAAAAATCAGTAAAGGAGAGAGGGAGGAAGGAAGCTTGGACGCAGGAGCAAAGGGACGAGCAGGAGCGAAGGCGAGCCAGAAGGAGAAGCATTACTGCCCGAGTCCACTAGGGAGGCCAAGGGACCTTTACCCGCACTACAGAATCCCGAAGAGCCGGTGCATTGTTTTCTTGAAAGCCCCAAGCTAAGCAATTCCAAGAATGTTTGGCAAGGCCCTTTTGGGAATGGTGAGGTGGGGGACCCGGAGCCGGGACTTTCTCGCCGCCCCCGCCCCGTGCCGGCCCCCTCGCGTGATGTGGCAGGATTTGGGAGACCTAGCGGAAACCTTCAGGTCACCCAGGGAACTGCTCCTCTCGCTGGTCCTGCGGCTGCGAGGCGGGGTTGAGCGCGCCGAGACGCGCGGGGCGCGGAGATGTGCAAGTGGCGAAGCTCGGCCGGGCGCAGGCGGGAGCAGCCGCCCAACTCCCCGCGCGGGATCTGCTGAGAGGCCACGGTGAGTCCCTCGCGCGCGGGTCCGAGGGATGCCGGGCTTCCCCGTCGCCCTGCCGCTCCGGCCGCCCCGGGCCGATCGCTCCCTGGAGTCCGGCCTTGGCGCGGCGCTCCCGGCCGGCCGGAGCGCGCGCCTCGGGGCGCCGGGGGACGCWCGGAGCGACGGGCGCTCGGCGAAGCTCCGGGCCGCCCGCCCCGCGCGCTCATTGGTCGGGATGTGTCTGCTCAGCCTCCAACTTCTCCSGAATCGTGCTGGTGAGTCCCGGGAGGGCCGGCTGCACCCGGGGTTGGGGCGCAGGGGTCGCCCGGGGCGCTGGGCGGGCGCGGGCAGCGACGGGCGCCCCTGGCCCCGCGGCGTGGGCGCAGGAGGCGTGCCCTGGGAAGGAGCGGCCGCCGGGACCAGAGCGGAGCGCAGGGGAGGGGAGGGAAGGGGCCGAGGGTGCCGGGGAGGAGGGCTCTGCGAGTGATGTCAGGTCGACTCTCCAGGTTCATTTCCATAGCTCCCTGCAGCCTCTGCCTGGGAGTTATGTTTGGTTACCGAGATCTGCGCTACCAAATTGCACCGGGGTTGATTTGGGGGCTGGGAATTTGCCATTCCGCTGTACAGACACTGATTTTTTAAAAAAGCAAGGTTTGTTTTCATTTTGGTTTCTGTCGGATTTTCTCCTCATTTAACTCACTTTTCTATTTTTTTTCTTTTCTTAACCTGAAGATCTTTTCATGATTCCACCTCTTCGTCTCGCTTTGAACCTTGATTTCCTATTATATAATTTATGCTWAAATCTCACAAGGGTTGGTTGGTGCGGCATGGAGGGTGTTCTTTTGTAGATGGAAGTTTTTTTAAAAGACCTTTTCCTTACTTAACCAGTTTCAGTCTATTTGTACTGTTTTAAAATAAGGGTAATTGCAACCGATCATCCCTCTTCATCCTCTCAATCAAGTCTATTTCTCCTYCATATGTGATTCAAATGGCAGTTTTATTAAACTGGAAACTAGTATCTGGCTTGCAGCGTCAGCGTTTGGAAGCTGCTACTCAGAGCAAATAGGCTCTGAGAGCGTGTAGCTTCACTCCCTTGCATTTTTGCTGGGTTCCAGCTCTTTAAAAAACGATATTGTAGTTTCTCAGACTGAATGCCCTGTGCCTCTGGGAGTAATGTTGTTGGGACTTTGTGTCCAGGACTCCATACTTCAGACCCTGGAAGCACTGGCTTAATTGATAYGTGGGAAGCGTGGGGATTTCAATTGAGTACCCTCTTCCTCAGCTTCTGCAGCCTCAATATGGAACCTGTTTTGCTTTTCTGTGCCTCAGTTTCCATGAATGCAAACTGTCATTACCTAGCAAACCTCAGGGACTTGTAGAAGTAAATTAATGTTATAATATGCTGTGAAGATGAAATTGCTTAGAACTCAGATCTCCCTTGCACAAATGGGTTATCCTCCAGGTTTCATGATTTGACAGTCTGATAAATGGATACTTAACGCTGTACCAGTGTGAGAATGAGAATTGCTACATCATATTGCTTTGGAATTCAGCTTATATTCAAGCAAAATGATAATTAATTCTGAGAATGTCAAGTTGAAGTTTTCAGGGTCCTAATCATCTACTCCCCTCTGGGGTGGTATCTGGTTTTTAGTTGAAGCTTTTTAACACATTTCTAGTTAAGGTGAAGTATTTTAAGAATGTAGGAATGTTTTTGCATATCCTGCTTTATATGAGAATCCAAGTATCAACTTTATATAATTTTCATATTTTTTCATTTCCATGTGCCCTTTAGCCCTCTCTCTTAAATGTGGTTGTATATGATTAAATTGGAAGTTCAGGTAACTAGAAGTTAGTGCTATGTCCTTTCCTGACCCCTGTTTTCTTCAAAGAAAATGGCATATCATCTGGAATTAACTGAAAATGAATGACAAAGTTAATTAAGAGGTTAAACTTGCAGCTTTCCCACTTTTGCTCAATACTGTTAAAAAGTGCTACTTAAGGGCAAAAAGAATCTACAAAGCTTTTTAAGAGGAACAGATGGAGAAAAAGTCTGCTGGTGACTCAAGATGATATTCTTTTGATGAARTCCAAGGGCTAGTAACCTGGGTCCCTACCTGAATTTCCCCATAGCTGTTCCTGCGGCTGCCTCCATTCTCCATGCTGAAGGATAAGGGAGAGAAGCCAGGGAAGGCAGCCCAGAGGGAGCGAGAAATGCCTGCCCACCAGCTGTGCCACACTGGGAAGCTTGGTGGTGCCAAAGAGCACTGCCCTGGTTCCCCAGTCTCAAGTTTACTTTACAGAGACACTSAGTCATGTTTCTCAGAAAGAAAGAAAAATAAATAAAATAAGAAAGTTTTTTTTTAACCCAGTAAAACATGTCTCTTGATTTGTCTTCTGAAATATTACTAGAGCAAGAGGAGAGAAATTTCAGAGAAATCCTAAAGCAGATGTGATTAATATTTAGGTGTTCTTTAAGGCAGGACTARAAATTGAAGAGGACTGGGAGAATTACTCGTTTGATTGTTTGCCTCTCTGTAGAGTGTCCAGGTATTAAATTTGTTCCTGCCTTTTCTTTGCCCAATTGTCACCTCTATTAAATTAGAACTACAGTCAATGCAATTCCATATTGTAACCCCAGGGGCTGTGCTACTAAAGTAGCATGAGTTACATAACCATTAAGTAAGACATTTTAACATTCAGGTACATTACATTCCACTTTTATTGAGCAGACGTGGTTTTCATTGTCCAATAAAATATTTTTATTTGATAGTCTGTCCTTGATTATAGCCTCATGTAATCAAAGGGACAGAGTGCTTAATACTTTGCATCCAGGACTGTAAAGTCCAGTTATGGTTCACTTATTAATGACTCCCTGGAGGAAGTGAGCAYCTTATTGTCTGCTGGGTCTCCCAGACCACACCTCAAATGGCCAGTCTGTTTCTCCTTTCTCTAGTGGCTCAGTTTCTACAAAACACACCCTCAGGGACTTGTGTGTATGAATTCAACAAAGATCTTTATCTGAAAGAACATTTCTGAGCAGTTACTTAATCTAGGGACTAAATTCTACACCTACTAAATTCCACAGCTAATTTGTTCATCTCAGAAATTCTTTCATATAGTCAAGCGCAAAAACTAAAGATTTTTAAACTAAGTTTTGGAATGATAGTGCAGTGAGGTGTCTCTTAGAAAGAATGTTGACTTGCTGTGTGGGCTTGGACAACACAGCAAGTCAACATTCTGTGACTTCTCTGTGGCCTACTTTCCTAGAATTGGAATATTAATATCCACCTTGTGGAGGTAAAATGAATCAGGTTGTGGAAAACTCTAAGAACTGGTGCTGGCACATGGAAAGAACCCACTAGATGTCAGCTATAGTTRGTAGAAGGAATAACACTAATTTATATAAGTTAAATATTTGGTTTAAGGGCTGATACCCTAATCTGCAAGGTAGGCTTTTTTGATCATGTTTTTTTTTTTTTTTCTCCTTTGGTTGCAAAAGAAACGTTGATATGGCTAGTATCTTTCATTCCACTGACTTTTGGTCTCTGAGTTGACGTCTTCAGAATGTTGTCTGACCAGTTAACTGATGCCTCTATCAGCAGGAGTAGTGATTTTGAGCTGTAAAAACAAAAGTTGTTWTTTATGACTAAACTACCTCAAGTGTTTGTTCCTTTTGTTTTCTATCTGTAATCATATTTCAAATTATTGCTTAGTCAAAACCTCAAGGTATTAGTCATTGATTTTGAGCTTGTAAAATAAACCACTGGAGCAAGATGTAAAATCCACCTTTGACGTTAGTCCAGAGTTCACAAGAGTGAGTTGAAAGCTTTCTTAATGATGGTACAGCCCCTTATTTGCTTATGAACTTCTGCATTAAAACTATGTGAGTGTCTAACAAACTCGCTTTGTATAACATTGCTGGAATCTTCAGTGACAGCAAAGYAAAACAGAAAGGTTGTGACTGGGGCCTGTGGAATTCACATGGCTGTATATTCTTTGCTTTCAGCATCTACATTTTGACTTTTCAACAACAACTTTTATTTCTAATCTGAAATAAATTAACCTTTTACTTTTATTGAGCCACATTAAGCATTTATAAAATTATACACAGTTTATTCTTATCTATTTGTTAAGATTTTTGTGTTTATCTGCAGATTTTAGGTGATGGGAAGATCGGAAAGTCAGATGGATATAACTGATATCAACACTCCAAAGCCAAAGAAGCCGAGATGGACCCCCCTGGAGATCAGCCTCTCGGTCCTCGTCCTGCTGCTCACCATCATAGCCGTGACCATGATCGCGCTCTACGCAACCTATGACGGTGAGTGACCCCATGCTGGGTGTCAGCAGGGCAAAGAGAAGGGTCTCCATCTCCTGCTCCTGCCATCATCCAACAGACACCTTAAGAACAGAGACATGTGGCCACACAGGATTCACTTGTACAGTGTAATACCGGTATGTTGAAACACTGAACTTGAGCGGGCTCAAGTACACTGCCTTTTATGTTGGAGCAAAGTTATTAATTGCCAAATATATTTAGGGCCTTCATGTTTACTTTATGAATATATATATATATATATATATATATATATATATTTTTTTTTTTTTTTTCCCCAAAAACCTTTATTTTACTTATTTAAATGTGGTGCTAAGGATCGAAGCCAGTGCCTCACACATGCTAGGGAAGTGCTCTATCACTGAGCCACAACCCCAGCCCCCTAATATATAATTTTATTTTATTAAAATATATACAGTTTTATGGCCAGCCTCAGCAATTAGTCAATTTTTGCTGTGCCATGGAAATTCTGAAGAGCTTCACAGGAATTTAAGAAGTCTAATTTGAGTCTGGGACATTTTTCACAATAGGGATTAGTAAAGATTCTTTAATGGGAAAAAGTGTTTACTGAAAGATAACTGGAACGACTGATTATTTCAATTAGTCAGGCCTAAGGCTTAGTTTTTAGAGATGATAATAACAACACATTTCTCTTCATAATCAAATTAAAATTTAGGATTTTCCTATCTTCTCCCTCTATTATTTTCTAGCCATTGGCAATTATATATAACATAAAGTTTTTAAGGAGTTGCTATTTAATGGTCAGTTTTTAAAAAAGAAGGATAAAATAGAAAACATGCAAATACTTATGCATATACCCTTCTTTGTCTAGATGGCGTTTGCAAATCATCAGACTGCATCAAATCAGGTAAGCAATTGTCTTTGCGTTTAATGTATAACATTTGAAAACAAAGTGCTAATAGATGTATCTCCACATTTGCTTTGTTTGTATTCTTCCTCATTATAGACCACTTATTTTTGTGTCTGGCTTTGTAATCAAGAAATACCAAAATGCATTGAAGTAGTAGATTAAATAACTTGCCTATTCTAAAAAATAATTCACTGTTTTAGCTCCGGGGTATAGGGTGATGTGATAAAGAACTATATGTTTATTTTTATGAAACTCACTATGTAGTTGGATAAAGAAAATGAAGGCAGGGATGGTGAGCACACTGTTAAGTGCTCAATCATCTCAGGTGTGAGCTCTGAGGAAGAAGTGACCTGTGGTCATCTTGGGCTAGGTGGGGAAGTCAGGGTGTGGGAAATGCCTTGAAGGGGTCTGGGACATGGAAGCAGGCTTGATGGACAGGCATATGTGGTAGAAAGCCTTGAAAGGCCATGTGTAGCCTCAGTGCGGTGGTGAGGGGAAGCAGATCTCCTCCTGAATAGGGTGTGGTCTGGAAGCGCTACACCAGGTGGGGTGGACAGAGCAAGCAGTGGGAGCGCCTGCGACCTGCAGGGAGCCAGGGCTCAGTGGAGGCWGTGGGCAGGGAGCCCCAGATGGCTGTGGAGAACTGTCTTGCTAACTGAAACGAGGGACATGAATGAGCTAGAAATGAGGCCACTGTTTAATATCCAAGGCACTGAGGAGGGTAGTGGCGGCCACTCACAAGTAGAGTGGTTGGGAGATGAACGAGGAGGTGCTGGCTGAGCTGAGAGGAGCATCCGAGGGAGGGAGGGTGAGCAGGACGGWCGGTGGAGGTGGCATAAGAAGCTCAGATTTGGATCTGTCAGCTTGGGGACAGTGGGAGCCTCAGGAATATTGGGGTTCTCAAAAGGAGGAGAGCAGAGGCATGGGGTTGAATTGAAGAAGACGTCAGTCATGAGGATCAAAGGAACAGAAGTCAGAGGAGAACGTGAGAGGAGCACGTGTCCCTGCCTCAGGAGGACAGCTACGGAGTTGAATGCAGCTTCCTTGGGCATGAATGCCACACTTAAGCCCTTTAACCATTTTCTGTTGGAAATTATTACCTGGGTTTCTGTTGTTTACTAAACTGCAAGATAACCAGGGGAGRTGCCTGGGAGTAGTGGGGTCTGGTGCCCTTTGCTTTTCTGTGTTGCTTGTTGGTGGACACTCTGCTCTGGGCCTCAGGTGTGATGATCCCATATCCTGAGATGCACCGTAGGGAACTGGAGGGAGACCTGATTKGATTTCAGCTGCTTGGTGCTCCACATGATGGCATGTACTTTCCCATCCAAGGGCTTTCTCAGAAACAAAGACGATTCTTTGTTCTCTGGGGAAGTGCTACATAGCTACTTTGCCTGGGAGATGTCCAGGGTCATTGTACCCAACTGCCAAAGAGACTGCTTACTCCCCCGCAGGTCCTCCCACGCCTCTTTCTCTCTCCACCAGCCACGCTGTCATATGCTCATGCCTGTCCAGTCTTGAGAAACCTCCACGTAGGCRCTGACCTCGCTAGGGTCAGTTCTTCTGTCCTTGGGACTCTGATCTCTTAGTGCACGAGTCCTCTCCTCTCGATTACCTGTTTTTTCCCTGTCTTCATTTTTATTACGATTTAATTTGGAAGAAATTGGATTATTCAACTAGGTAGACACATTTTTRTAAACCCCCTCCAGGTGGCTTTCCCCAGAGCTCTAGGCAGATTCCTGCTGTAGTACCCACATCACAGAGCAGAGTGACGTCTGGAATCTGGAACCTTGTGAATTCATGATTTGGGGACATGGTTCTTGAATAGAGTCTGGAAATTCTCAACTCACCAAAATGTATTTAACCTGCATCTTTTCACGTTAACTTAGAAATCATGTCAAGTGTAAAACACCTCAAGAACTACATTTTGGCAGAGAAATGGCCCCATAGAAATAGCTTCCATGATACCAAGTTCATGGTCAGGCTGTCTCTCTTCCTTCTTCGTTGGTTCACAGGCTGTGAGGATACCTTGATGTCTGCAGTTACTCTTCCTCCTGCTCTCTTGGGCTCACTGTTCCACGCACATACATGCAGTCCTTGGCTGATTAGAAATTTTTTCTGCCACCGAAAATGCAGCTACTATTTCTTTTAGAAGTTGTTGCAGATTCAGAAAACTCTAGAGGAAAACCTGGGCAGAAGCACGTCCTAAAGAAGAGTGAGAAGCACGGAGCGTATGGAAAGGAAAGAAAGATAGAAATCTCACTCCAGTCATATAGTTATGGTAGAAGTCTGGGGGTGTTCAAACCTGAGCCCTGACCTTCATCTGGAGGGTTGGAAAAGTAGGAATTGGTACCCAAGGTGCTTTCTTTAAAATTGGCTCCAACTTGAATCTTTCTCCCAGTGGAAGGGATGTTCTGGCAAAGCTACTTCTCCCTGTGATCCTCTGAGCTCAAGGAGCAGAAGTCAGGCTGAGCTGGGCAAGAGCAAGACCCTGCAGAAGGCTCAGGACCATCTTGAARTCTGGGCACCTATGATTTAAATGTTTTTAATATATGTAATATATTAGAACATATTTATAACATATTATAGTAACATATTAAATTAACTTTGTTAATATATAAAACACATTAGATTGACCAGACCTAAAATAAAACTTCTCCGTAAGCCTATATCCCCAAACTGGTGTCCATTGCATTGTGACTTCCCAGCTCAGAAGGTTCCATGGATAACTGAAGGTTTCATGGGTAATTCTTTGTTGTGGGTGTGGACATCGTAGGGTCCTTCCTTAATGGCTTTCCTGACCTACCCACCAGAGCAGCATCCCTCTCCCAGATGTGAAAACCCTCCCCCAAAAAAAAAAAATGTCTCCAGATATTACCAAATATCCCCTAAGGGCAGTGGAGTGCCCTGTGTCAGGTGCCACTGGAGTAGATGAGCTAGATAAGTCCACAGTGCTTTTTCCTTTTTGAGGTAGACAAGGTAATAGCCTTCCAAAGATGTCCATGTCCGTTCCTGGAACCTGTGGGTACATTATCTTTGATGGCAGCAGATCTGTTAAGGAAGGAATTCAGCTAAGGCTTTTGAAGTGGGAAGATTATCCTGAGCAATTGGGTCCTTCTAAGAGGAGGAGAGCAGAGCGTGAGGATCAGAGAAGAAAGCTTTACAGAAGGGGCCAAGGAAGTGGAGGTCCAAGGTGCAGGTGYAGTCTGGGACCCCCGAAGCCAGAGAGAAGGCCCAGGGCTCTCTCCAGGGCCTTCAGAGCATGGCTCTTCTGGCCCTTCTTGGACTGCTTACCTCCAGAATTAGAGGCCAATAAATGTGTCCTGCTTCAAGCCACTACATTTGTGGTAATTTGTCACKGCAGTAAGAGGGAACTATTTCCCTCCAACAATTCCTTTCTTTTCAGGCTGACTTTGAGGAGTTACAACAGGCACATTCATACATACACCAGCGTTTCCTGTTGGACAGCGGTGTGTTTACTAAACTGGGGTTTGTGATATGCAGGACTGGGGATGGAACATTGACTAGACTAATAGAGGATGCTAGTCTGCTCCAAATTTTGTGTGTTTCCGCATCCTTTAAGAGGTACATCCTGTAAGGGATGATGAGGCCACAGGATTTGGTGCTGGGTTCCAGACTTGCTGGAGGAAGTTGGTTCTGTCCGGTCTTCCTCCTCGTGCCACGTGAGCATGCAGCAGGGGACCCCCCACCAGACACTGGCAACTTGATCTTAGACTTTCAGCCTCCAGAAGGAGGAGGAAATAAATTTCTATTCTTTATAAATTGCCCAACCTCAGGAGCACAAAACAGACCAAGACAAGGAATAAGTACAATAATAGGTTATAGGGAGGTAACATTAAGAGACTATAATAAAATCAGAGTAGAATGATAATAGCTAGCACTGACTGAATGTTTATGTGCTGGGTCCTCCGTAAGCAGCTGACGTGTAGTAACAGTTGATCCCCATAATGACCCTATGAGGTAGGTACTGTTATTCTTTCTTCTTGTTTTTTTTTTTTTTTTTTTTTTCTTTTCTTTCCTTTTTTAAGAGCTGTGGTCTCGCTATGTGGCCCAGGCTGCTCTTGAACTCCTGACCTCTGGTGATCCTCCCATCTTGGGCCTCATAGAAGTTGGACCACAGCCATGTGTCCTAGAGGCTGATGTCTTTTCTTACAGGTGAATAAGCAGCCAGGTTCCCCATCCAGCAGCCTGGTCCCCACACCTGTATCCATGACCACTTCTCTGTGCTGCATGGAAGGAAGCCAGGAGTCTCACAGACTTTCATACTCTGTGCCTGTGGGTCCAGTCAGTCTACGAGAGACGGCTGCCTTCCCTCCCATGGRAACGTGGAGCTAAAGCACCCAAGACAACTCTGAGGGTGAAATAACGAAGTCTCTAGAAACCTGTTACTTTACTAAGAACAGGGAGCAACTTCTTCAGTGCATCCAGTACATCAAAATGCAGCAGGGATTGAGGGACTTTGTTAGTCCACTGTGGCTCACTCATGGGGCGTCCACCCAGAAGACTTTAAATAGTCCCAATCACTTCCCAAAGGCCCTGCTTCGGGGCACCATGGTTGGATGGTTTTAAGACTTTTAATACCTCCCCTGGGGATTAAAGTTCAACCCCTGAACCTTCAGGGAACACGTGCCAACCATGTCTACACCATGGCAGATTCTAAAGAAGTGAATGTTAGCAGTGTGGCCCTAAACAGTCCAGGGTCTAGAGAAACCAGGTTAAGCTGCAGGAGTGGTATAGTTCCTAAGAGAGAGTGGGGACACCTGTACATCACACAGATGGTGCACTGTACAATTGTCTCTGGCAGCCCCTACACCATTACTTTAAACCTTTTACTTTAATTCTGTACTTACCAAGCAAACTTCTAATGAGTCTTTAATTATTAATACAAAGAAAGGGAGCATTCTGTTCACTTGCAAGATTATTCAGCATGGTGAGATAATATATTCACATTTTGATTTAATTACYACTTTGTGTGGCTT